AGCAGGAGCAAGGAGCCAACTGATCACCTGGATATCTAAGGTCTAACTATTAATATCAGACATGAAGGTGAGTTTGTTCCTAGTGTTGTCAATGAAAAACTGGTTTTATAACTGAGGAGCACATTCTAGAATCTCAAGTAAGGTTTGCAAATATAGAAGATAAAATATTTACAAAGGATATACACTCTGGGTAAGTGAGAATATGATGGGGTGATTGTGCAGGTGCACACATGTGCCTGAGCTGTATGTTGGGGACTTGTTCATATGTTCAGTGTGTTTTATATGTGCAGTTTATCAGTGCATGCCTATTGCCTTGGTTTAGAGGGATGGTTTAGGGCTTGCCTAGCTGACCTGCTGTTCATTGTCACTGAAGAATCTGACATTTTATAACTGAGCTTCTCAAGCAATCACTGGATTATAAACATAAAGTTCACCTTTTTATTACTCATGTCCAATGTAATTTCAAATTATCTAGAAATTGACTTCCTTTCACTTTCTTTGCCCATGGTATTTTTCAAATAGATAAACTGTTTTCTAACTACAAGTCAGACTTTAGACATGTCTGGTGCAACACAGCCTTGTTTATAAAACGGGAGGGTGGGGCAAGGACCTTGAGCTTGATCAGATTAGAGTAAAACTCCCGTTAAGCATTTACAATGTGACCCAAGACAAATTACTGAATTCAAATTAAACTCCTGTCCTGCTTCATGAAATAAGATTGTTGTCTAATTTTGAGGTGAGTAAAGATCAGAGCTGATATATGAAAAGGAATATGAATGTTTACACCAGTTCTGACACCAAACAGAGGAGAAATTCTTTTAAATAGAAGTGTTTTCTGTTTTGGGAAAAGAGGGAAATAGGTAGCACTCACTGAGCACTTACTGTGTGCCAGGAAGTGCTGTGTATTTAGCCCTCTTCACCTACTTCTGTCTTCTTGTGAGAAAACTGGTGTACACACAAGCTCGGCAGTATGTCCAAACTGGCCGGCAAGCCCCAGAGCAGACACAAAACCAGGAGGTCTCTCTCCCCCACACTGATTCGGAATCACATGGTAAGATTTGTTCTTCCCAATGAGAACCAACTTAGAGAAGCATATAGACAAAATATTTATTGCACAAAAGGGCTTTTCTCTCCCTAAGGACTAAAAACGTAGGGATTCTAATTTACAAATCCAAAACAATGAACAATATTTCAGATAAGGTATCCACATAATAGTACCAGTCAGAAAACATGCAGTAGAAACTCTTCTATGAAACTTACATATCACACCCATCAGCATGGCTTCTGAAGCATTAGGATATTTGTTCAACACCATTCAAGGATCAAAAAGACCATGAAGCATGGTGTCCCCTTCATTCCCTCTCATTTCCTTGAGAAATATTTGCTATTGAAGCCAGAGGAAACATAGATCATCTAGTCCCAAGCTTTTGACTTAAACACGAAAACCAAAATGAGGCAAAGGGACGTGAATTGATTTATCCATATCAATTGACAGCTGTGCTAGGTAGAACTATTTCTGATTTCTGGTTTACCAGAGAGTGTTTACTCCGTCACACAGCTAAGTCTTTAAGCATGCATTTGCATGCACTTGCTGACCACAATCATTGCATTGGACCCTACATCGCCAAGCACATGCACATGCGAATCAGCCTCTGATCACATCAGAGCAGCAGTCAATCGGCAGCAGTACGATGAATGTGTTTTTTAAAAGGGGCAGACGCTGGTGAATGACTGTCCCAGCTCTGTTCCTGACTCCAGCTTCCTGCTAGAGTACACCTGGAAGAAAGCAGTAATGGTTCCAGTACTGGAGTCTCTGACATTTATGTGGAAGACCCAAACAGAGATCCAGGTGCCTGGCTTCAGCTGTTGCAGGTATTTGGGGAATAAGCCAACAGATGGAGTATCTCTGTGTGTCTCTGTCTCTCCAGCTCTGCCTTTCTGCCTTTCAAGTAAGATTTTTTTTTTAAATTTCTGAATAAACTGAGGCACAATAACTACTTAAAGTTTTTGTCAAGATTTAGTTATTTTTATTTGAAGGTCAGAGTTACCAGCTCAGTTTAAAGTTTATTGGAGGAAACAGCAATTCACGTTGCAGGCAGCTACAAACTAGAAATGGTTTAGGAGTTCAATGTTTGGCCGGTTAGAAAGTAACCTTGCTTAGCTAGTTATGTAACTTTGTTCATTGGCTGCTTCTGACTGAGCTTAAGTCCTAGCTTCCTGTAGACAGGCATTTGCTGGGCATAGGTCAAGTTTTGCTTTTGTTTACAAGGTTGAAATCACTCAGGAGACTTGATTGGCTTTGTCTGTCCCGGGACTTTTCTGAGCCAGTCACTAATTAAGCAGCTGGGCTGATCAAAGCAGAGTATCTGAAAGAAAGGAGGCTATAAGCGGATCTACCAAGACGGGTCAGCCAGCCTTTGGGGATCGCCCTGATGTTTAAGCACTGTAGATTTTCAAAGAGGGGAAGAAGCTTAGAGGGAAGTTAGTCTTCAAAGATAGCTCAAGTGCTGTCCTGGAGAGAGCTATTGGAGCTTTTCTTTGGCTCCTAAGAAGTACAAACAGAACCAGGGAGCCGGTTGAAGGAGCATGGATTGGGAAATCAGGCCAGAGTTCTCCTATAGGGTCACTGACAGCTCAAGTAACTTTTCCCTGTGCCTCGGGTCGATCCTACATAAAAATGAAAGTTTTGTCTCCCTCATAGGAGCTTATACATCTGAAGGTATCTTCCAAAAGCCCGTGGTAAATGCATAGGGCGAAAAAAAAAATGCACAGATTTCAAGCATTTTTGCACCAAGAGAAATCCCATTTATAAATTCCATTTCGCAGAAAGTTTTTGAAGTGTTCCAGTACCAAAGAACGCTAACAGGTGACTTATCAAATTAAGTCTTCAAATCTGTCAGTGAGACCACAGTGGATAAATTAACAATGCACTGTTTCTAGCCACGCCCCTCCATCGCCCCCCAGTGTCTTCTCACATTCTGCTGTTCTCAGTCACTTTGCAAACATTCTGGCAGTTTCCCTCCTTTAGGGCAACCATAGCACAGAACAGCACTTTCTCCTGCTGGGTTTCTCCGACTGGCCCTCGCTGCAGCAGATCCTCTTCGTCCTCATCCTCCTCTGCTATCTCCTGACTCTGGCGGGCAATTCGGCGCTGGTGCTGCTGGCCGTGCGCGACCCGCGCCTGCATACGCCCATGTACTACTTCCTCTGTCACCTGGCCCTAGTGGACGCAGGCTTCACGACAAGCGTGGTGCCGCCGCTGCTGGTCAACTTGCAAGGTCCACCGCTCTGGCTGCCGCGCGGCGGCTGCATGGCCCAGCTGTACGCCTCGCTGGCTCTGGGTTCAACAGAATGCGTCCTCCTGGCCGTGATGGCGCTGGACCGCGCGGCCGCCGTGTGCCACCCGTTACGATACCCCGCACTGGCTTCCCCGCGCCTCTGCAGTGCGCTGGCAGGCGCCTCGTGGCTGGGAGGCCTCACCAACTCTGCCGCGCAGACGGCTCTCCTGGCTGCCCGGCCGCTCTGTGCGCCCCACCGGCTGGATCACTTCATCTGCGAGCTGCCCGCGCTGCTCCAGCTGGCCTGCGGAGGCGCCCGAGAAAACGTGGAGCGCCAGATGTTTGCCGCGCGCGTGGTCATCCTGCTGGTGCCGTCCACCGTCATCCTGGCCTCGTATGGGGCGGTGGGCCGCGCTGTGTGGGCTATGCGCTCCGGAGGAGGCCGAAGGAAGGCGGTGGGCACCTGTGGCTCCCACCTGACCGCCGTCTGCCTGTTTTATGGTTCCGCCATCTACACCTACCTGCAGCCCACGCACAGCTACAACCAGGGGCGGGGCAAGTTCGTTTCTCTCTTCTACACGGTGGTCACGCCCGCCCTTAATCCACTTATCTACACACTCAGGAATAAGGAGGTGAAGGGGGCCGCGAGGAGGCTCCTGGGGAGCCTGGGGAGAGGGCGCACCCGACAGTGAGAGGAGTTGGGAGCCTGGAAGAATTGTACAGGGCACAAGGAAAGAAACGCCCATTGGCTGGTCTGTCCACTCAGCCCTCGTACTGTTTGATTATTTACTTAATAGGAATACAAAATTTGTCTTCAGGGAGTCCAAGATTGTTGGAGGAGATGACTTCCTCGCACCAGATTATGTTTGGATTCTTGAGGGACAATCCCATGTTTACTGGTTTAAGCAGAGAGAAACGGCCCTCCGACTTTTCTCTAAGCTCATCAGGAAAGGCAACATGACTTGAGGGACAGCTTCCTTATCCTCAGACTGGGCAACAGCAACCACCTTTCAGGAAGTCCATTCCTTTGGGAGGAACACCCACCCACAAGGGGCTCATTAGAGACATCAGATCTCTAGGTCCCTATGAAAGATACCTTTCCATGGCCACCACCATTCAGCGAAAGAACAGTTGGAGCTAAATGTGTGACACAGAGGGTAAGAGGGGACATGATCCCAGATTTCGTTTTATACCAACAGCTTATAAGAGGGGAAAAAGGCAAAAGACAGTTGTTTAATTGAATTTCTGAATAGTTTATTAATCAGATTAGTATCAGTAATTAATTCATTTCATAATGTGATTCTCTATATAGAAAAATTCAATTTGGGTGACATTATGGATGAAGCCATGGGTTTAATATAGAAACACAGAAATGAATAGAACATGAAACCCAACCTAAAATTTGCTATCTGGTTACAAAGGGAAAGAAATTGGCATTTTTCTATAAATCAGAATGGATCAAAATTTCAAGCTAACTTTTGAATATTCTTTCTAGGTTGTGTTAAAAATGCATTTCCTATCCTCAGTAATACATTAGAAATGATCCAGACACTGTCAGCTATGTCAGACCGAAGAGTTCCAGGGTTGGAAATTACGCTTTATCCTACCCACCTAACCCCAAATCTTACTCTATTTCATTCTCTTTCATTTTGGGAAGTCTTCAGAATATATGGCTAAGGAAAAAAAAATCTGTTATTTCTGGTACCACTTCATCCCAAGTGGTCACCCTCCAATGCAAGAAGTTGTCATAAAGAATACAGAGCCCTTTTTAATTTGATAATCTGCCATGGTCTTCCCAGCTTCCAGCTTCTTTCCATTGCAAGTCACATTCTGGGACTCAGGAGTCACCCCAGTCAGGTTCTTGATCATTTCCTTCACCTGGACCACAGAGTTGGACCTTCGCACCTGCAGCTGGTACTTCTGCCCCTGATCTCGTGAATCCACCAGGGCCAAGGGAAGCTCTTCATCGTCACTGGGCTTCACCACTCTCAGGGTCAGGTGGATGGTGGTCTCCTTGTCGATGCCGTAAGATGACAGCCTCCTCTGGGGCTCTAGAGTCTTGGAGCCCAGAAGAAGAACTTGGTCCGGCACACAAACTTTGGTCTTAGCACGGACATGCTCGTTGATCTTCCTCACTCTGTCATATTTCTTGGCCTCAAAAGTCATTAATTCTTGGTTATAATTGACGCTCACCTGGGCAATGAAAGCCATAGAGAGAGAAAGAGTCAGTTGTCTGAAAGGCCTGTCACTCATGATTCTCCGATACATGGATTTCAAGCACGTCTGCACCAAAATACTTTTATCTTTTCATTTTTTTTTTCTGATGACCTTTCTGATTTACTGTTGTACCCCTGGCTTTCCCAGATCAATTGTTCTTACCCTTCCACAGTCTTTCTCGTATTTTGGCTTATCTCGAGCAATTCACATCCTTTCCTTTTTTGTAATTTTTCTTCCAAAATTCCAAAGTTGTAGCGCAAGCAAGAATATTAGTCTCATTACCTTGTTACCATAAATTTTGTCTAGCTCACGACATATTCATGATTTACCACTTTAATTACCTCTCCTGTCCAGATAATACTTGTCAAATTTCAAAAAGTAAATTCAACCACAAGGTTTCAAAAGTTTTATATAATATTCTAAAAACAACCTACCAAGAATTTTCAAGACTGTGCAACTCCATAGGATAGTTAAGATTTCTGGCCATACAACACCCTCCATGACTATCTTACAAGAAAATCCAGATAACAACATACCATTTCTGTACTGTTAGTTTCTTTTTTAATGCTCCATTGTTCATAACAGCTTACATATTAGTGCCACAATGCTCAGTGTTATTGTTAATCCATAGTTCCTATACTTCCTTTTTATATCTACCTGTTGTAGAATATGATCCTTTCCCTAAATTACATCTGATTTAGGAAAAGACAGAAGATATAGCCTGTATCTCTATCTTACTTCATTAACTTTACTTCAATAATCCTGAAAGTGAATTTCATCTCTGTGCTAACTCTTTTTTTTAAGATTTATTTTATTTTTATTGGAAAGTCAGATGCACAGAGAGGAGGAGATACAGAGAGGAAGAGTTTCCATCGTTGATATACTCCCCAAGCAGCCGCAGTGGCTGGAGCTGAGCTGATCTGAAGCCAGCAGCCAGGAGCCTCTTCTGGGTCTCCCAAATGGGTGCAGGGTCTCAAGGCTGTGGGCTGTCCTCGACTGCCTTCCCAAGCCACAAGCAGAGACTGAATGGGAAGCAGGGCCACCGGGATTAGAACCAGCACCCAAATGGGATCCTGGGTATGTGCAAGGTAAGGATTTAGCCACTAGACCACCACACCAGGCCGTCTGTGTTAACCCTTAAAAGTTTAGGAGATTATCTTAGATCATAAATTATTTAAACAAACCTTGGAAGAACCAAGAATCTTAGCTTTAAAACCCTGGAAATACTTCCATAATTCTAAAGCTCAACAACATTGAGCAGTAAGTTCAGCCTGACTTCCTACCATTTACCCTGAACAGCAGTCAATTCACAAGAGAACTGAAGCTTGTCTTCAGAGAGCCCTCCTTCCCATTCTGCAGCGACTTAGGCCCGTTTTGTCTTCTTCCCATCAGCTTCCCAGCCAACCAACTTTCAGAGCCCTTTTTTCTGCCAGAACACTATCTATTCCAGAGATATCTCCCCAACTGTAAGAAATACTTTCCCTTCCCCCTTATCCATTATTAAATTAGAACTTACTAAGATGCTGGAAGCATTGGGAGCCATCCTTTCGATCGCAAGGACAGACGAGATTGAGTGAAAGGACCTTGCATCCAGCTTATATACTGATGGCTGAGTTGGAAATCCCCTGCCTGCACAGCTGTGTTGTCCAGCTTGACTCTGCCCTTTGTTCTTATATGTCCTCATCCTCTTTCTTTCACTTTTGCCATCAGGCAGCTAATAAACATTGCTTTATGCTCAAGTACTTTGCCACTGCAGAGAAAAGGGCTGCCCTGCATTCACTGTGCAATAGGATGTAGTGACTCTGAAACAATCACCAGGTAAGGGCAGAAGATGCTAGATCAAGTTGAGTGAGGTTGACAAACAGAAATACCTGCAGCATGTTAGGGATGGGGGAAGGGACTAGGCAAAGAGAAAGGAAAAGCTGTTTGAACGCAGACCTATATTTAAACTGCTTTCACTTTGCAAGCCCTGTTTGTATTACTTTCTCAGATCTTCATGTCATTTCTCAGAAGGCAAGAGGGTAGTTAAATGCTGCTTAAAAACAGACTCCCTTTTCCTCTCCTTTCCCTCTCTGTCCATTTCAGCCCAGGACCTTAAACTAGTTTAGAGCCAATGACTACATTACGAGGGTATACAAGAAAAGCCTGGCCAGAGAAATGACAGTTCCCAGGAAATACTTTAATCTGCTCATGGCCCCTTAGTTCTATATCCACAGCCCTAAACTGAGTTGCATATGTAATAGGTTTAGCTTACTCACACAGCTTCCTGAAGCCCACATATATTCTTGACCATGCTAAGTTCTCAGTTGTCTCCATGCCAGTGAATGTACCTTTCCCTCCAGCTGTATCCCCAACACCATGAGCGTAAACAGTGTATGTCATTCAAGAAATTTCTCCTACCTCTCTACTTCCCTACCAGCGCCAATCTGATCAATCCTTTCTCTCAAAATCTCTCAAATAATGTTTTCTCATCAATAGGACCGTTGACCATTCAGTTTCAGTAAACAGAAGGATCTTGAGGGTCATGATTGTGTCCTGCTTAACAGCCAGAGAGCCTTGGTCCAGCATGCCTTCTGACACAGAAACACTTCAAATACATTAAGTGTAGAAATTAATTAGTAAAAGAATAAATAAGCAAGTAAATAACAACAAAAGGAAAATAACATTTAGTAAGTCCTGGCCACCTGCACTGGCATCCCATGTTGGCACATAGCTCACTGCTGATGTGCCCTGGAAAGCAATAGAAGACAGCCCAAGTGCTTGGGCCCCTACACCCACGTGGGAGACCCAGGGAGATCCAGAGGAAGCTCATAGCTCCTGATCTCTCTATCTCTCTCTCGCTCTCTAAAACATATCTATCGCTCGCTCTCTCTCTCTCTCTCGCTTTCAAACAAATATTTTAAAACATATTCAGTGAGTCCTTGAAACTGCACAAGAAATTATTAAATGATAACTCATTAAATGATAACTCATTTGCATTTGGCATTCTAATTAACTAGTATTCTTTGGCATCTTAAGATCTGTGACACATTAAGTTGTGTAAGCAGAAGAAGAAAAGGTCCAAATTAAAGTGTCTGTTATTTTCTTATTATGCTGCTTCAATGGAAAAAAAAAAAAAAAAAAAGGAGGCAGAAAAGCCTCTGCTGGAATAGGGGATTTCCAACACGGGCTTACAATGAGAACAAACCTGGGATGATGCCAAGAAAAATTAATTGGGAAGTTTTTCTATATAAGCGTACTGTGCTTCTGAGAAACGGTATCCTTTCAAGGAAACTGAACAAACTTGGACTCTGATCTCTTTCCCTTGTTTTCCCTTCCATTCCATTCCATTCCCTTCCCCCATGAAAGTCCTCCCCCGCCCAAGTCCAGACAATCTGTCCCAGATGCCTTGGTGCCAGTCTGCAAACCTCATCAGAATTTCTCCTTGGAACGTGATCTCCTTCATACCGCATTACTACAGCCTCTTACTCAGTGCTTCTTACTTCATTCTTACTTCAGCTTTTTGCCTCAGCGTCAATCGGATATTTTCTCATTAATATCACAATATAGTTTCTTTTTTTAAGATTTATTTAATTCTATTGGAAAGACCAACTTACAGAGAGGAGAGGCAGAGAAGAAGATCCCCCATCCATGCTTCACTCCCCAAGTGACCCCAACAGCCAGAGCTGAGACAATCCAAAGCCAGGAGCTTCTTCGGGGTCTCCCATGTGAGTGCAGGGTCCCAAGGCTTTGGGCCATCCTTTACTGCTTTCCCAGGCCACAAGCAGGGAGCTGGATGGGAAGTGGAACAGTAGGGACACAAACCCAAACTAGCACCCATATAGGATCCCAGCACATATAAGACAAGGATTTAGTCAATAGGCTATCATGCCAGGCCCGCTGCAATATTTTCTTTCAGCAGCAAAAATCTCTTTTCATTTGTCCCTTAACATATTCAGAAACCCAACCAAGGTGGAAAACCATGCTGGGAAATCCTTGCAGATTTTAAAATATCTCAGACATCCCCAAATTTCCCAGTTTGGTCCAGTCTGATGAGATGGTCTTAGCTCACCACTGAATTCCCCATTAAGGTCCCCTTGAAACACAGGTCTCTTACCAGTCTGTTTAAGATGTCCATGAATTTATAAAACTTGTAATCTGAAACATTGGTTCAGAAATGCCAAGATCAGGTTAAAAAAAAGGTTAGGAATTACTGTGTATTATAATAAAATTTTTATGACATTTAGATAATTGAGAAGGACCGTGTGGACAACTGATTAGAATGGGAGGGGTCAAGGTATCGGGGAAAGTGGATGAAACAATTACTTTCAATCTTTTTTTTTCTTTTTAAATCAAGGCATATGGGGGAAACGAGTGGGGGAGAGGACTGCTTCCAGCAGTCTAACTGCATCATACCTGAGGATGAGGGATGCCCACTCAATATCACCCTGCGGTCCTTAATATGGAACCTGTTCTGAGGGTACTGCTTAAGTGATTTCAATAGTTCTGAGATGCTGTTGATTTCATTGCTGCAAGGTTGAGGAAATCCTTCCAAGGCCCATTGGCTGACACAGTCCACCCTAGAGTCTCCACTCTCTCAAATACTTACTGTCAGAGGAATTATTTATCAGCAGTCAGACAAAAAGAAAAAACAAATGTCCATCTTAAAAGATGAATAGTTTGGAAATTCTTATCAAATTAAAAAATGAACATGCCAGGGGCCAACACAGTGAGCTAAACTTCAACCTGTGTGCTGGCACCCCATATGGGCACTGTCAAGTCCCACCTGCTTTACTTCCTAATCAGCTTCCTGTTTGTGCCACTGGAAGGTAGTGGAGGATGGCTCAAGTCCTTGGGCCCTGTTGCAGCTATTTGGGGAGTGGACCATCAGATGACAGAATTCACTCTCTGCCTCAACTTCTCTGTAACTCTTTTTAAAAAAATAAAAAATAAATCTTTCCTAAAAATGGATATGCCATATCAAAACAATCCAAATGCCTTTTAGTAACAGAAAA